AAAACTAAAAAAAAAAAAAGACCGTACCCTTTTATGTAATGATGTTTACTTTGAATTTATATTAGTTCACACAAACACTCCATCCATGCTTTTGTTCCGGCCCTCCGGTCCAGTTTAAGAACCCATTGTGGCCCTCGAGTCAAAAAGTTTGCCCACTCCTGGTCTAGCCTCACATGGAAGCTCCTCCATTCTCTTGAGCAACTTGTTTGTCTTTTGGGGGCTTCAAAAAACTTTATATATTTTCTGAAGTTGGTGAACTACAAACCTTTAAGATAATGTTTTCAACTTGGTTTCCAACAGCCTACCTGATGATGTCCACAAGTTTTGAAAACTATTTAAAGGACCGAAGTAGGATGTAAGTTTAAAGACTTTCAGGGAATAGAATAAGCACATTTCTAAATCCCTCTTTTGACTTATAAGTGATAGCTTAGTTCTCACCAGCTTAAAAGCATAGTTGGGAGTTATTTTTATTTTGCTGGTCATGCCTGCTCCAGAGATGGGTGAGTAGCACTAGTCTGCCCCGTCCTCATGGTGCACGAATTCCCGGCTCCCATGAGAAAGGAAGCTCCATGCACAAAGGGTGGTTGCCTTATTGCTATGGCCTTCCTATTACTCAGAGCACAGCTTGCATATCTGCTGAATAAACAAAGCAAGCTGCATATGTAGGTGATTTTACTAGCATGTTTTTCTTTTTTTAAAAAAATCTTTATTGTTGAAAGTATTTCATAAGTCCCCTTTTTAGCATGTCTTTCACTGATTCTCCTAGAAAAACTTAAGTGCCCTATTTGAGCAAAATGTTCTCCTTGATTACTTATCTTTGTTAGATTTGGAGTGAAACATTTTCAAAGAAGCTGACTAAATGGTTGTCACCCTCAGTAAGTTCCCATCTATTTAATATTCTTAATAATTTAACTTCTTAGAGGGAGTTCTAAAGCTATTTTGACTATTTCAAAATCAATTTATATTTGGAGTTTGAATGCCAGTGCAGACAGAAAAAATGCAGGAATTAGAGTGGTGGTGCGGTTAAGAGTGTTGGCTTGGGATACAAAGAACTCTGTGTGCAAATCCTAGCCTATCACTCCTAGTGCAACTAGCCAACTTCCCTGAGGCTCAGTTTCTCTCATCTGTGAAATGGGTTAGTAACATCCACCTCAGAGTTGTGATAATTGTATGTGATGATGCTTATAAAGCAAATAACACATCGTCAGACGTAAAGTAAATGTCCCATAAATATGAGCTATGATAACTCAGACATTTTTCCTTTCCCTTTCCCACTTATCAATGTACAGCCAGCAGAAGCGGAAGTTGGTTTAGTGGGGTCAGTCCACAGTGTAGGAAATCACACGAATAATGAAGAATTTTCATTGTTCATCAAACCGCCAATGAATCTGTGTGGCTCTAGAAACACTTTTACTGAAGGAGAATTTCTACTTAAGCTCGTTTTGAGTGAATTTCACTGAAGGGACTTCTGGCTGCCCAGAGGCAAGGTGATGGGTGCACGGATGGGACAGCATCCAGATCACTTTGGGGAGCATCAGAGAAAGTTAGAGCTAAAAGGACACCAGGAGCCTCTTGGGGGGCGGATTTCCTTGATTTTTAATAAAAGCAAATGATAGAAGCACTCAGAATCCAAACACTGTGCTGCTCCTAATATTCTGTGATGCAGTTCCCTGCCTTGGTTTAAGGAGGATTTGCAAAAATGTCATATTGGCTAAACAGAGACATAGGGTCCTAGTTGACTTAACTTTTAGAATTAACTTTTCATACTAGATGCAGTATAGATTTTAACCACAGGTTTTCATCACCCATGAAATCTACTAAGAAAAAGAT